AGAGTTGTTTTAGGAAAATGCATTTATTTAAATAGCTTCCAGTTTTAGTCATTTGCATTTGTGTCTATGTTCGCCTCTTGTGGCGGTAAGTTTCGACTGCGATCAAGTAACTGCTGGCTGCCGGCGTCCAGACGTGCGCATCGTGCTGACGGGCATCTCTGTTTAGCTGGCTCTTGCTGCTTGGTAGTTACTTCATTTATTTCTTGCAATTTTCAAGAATGTTTCACTTACAGCTGGTTCAGGTCTTTCTCACTCTCTTCAGAAGAAGAGAGATGGAAACCAATATTTATTGAGCACGTTTCATCTGCCCAACATTTTGGGAGCCTCTGGGGAATATAGAAAATGAACGTGACGTGGTTTGCTGCCTGGCTGGAGAAAAAAATATGCAAGCAAAGAAATGGAATATAGCCTGATCAGGAAACCTTATAATGACAAATAAAAGAAAGAGGAAAAAGAGGAGTCTCATAATGAAAGAACAGTTGAGGAACCCTAGTGGAATAAAGGGAGGACATAGCACATTTCTGGCGAGGGAGGGTATAGCCAGAGAAACAGCCACAGAAGAGCTGGGTCTTGAGCGTTGTGGACCGTTCACCAGGCGGACGGGAGAGGCAGAGGCCCTGCACGCAGTGATGCTAGTGGCGGGGGGCCAGCCGCACGTGCAAAGCTCGCTCTGAGCCTGTTTGCGGGAAGTCTCCACGGAAGCGTGCAGGACTGCGAGCGCTGGCCTGAGAGCCCTGGATCTGCGTGCTTGTCCCGGCTCTGCTGTTCAGTTGCTGGAAGGCTGTGACGGGTCTGAACCTGTTTTTCCCCCTGAGATGGAGATAATCACCGTATTTTTAGGATGATAAGATGCACCAGACCATAAGACGCACCTAGGTTTTCGAGGGGGAAAATAGGAAAAAAAAATTTTGAAGCAAAACATGTGGTAAAACATCTAATAACATAAATAACATAGGCCGCCCCCCAGCCCCAACAAGCCAGGTTACCTACATTCGGACTATAAGACACACCCCTTCCTCCCAAATCTGGGGGGAAATTGCGTCTTATAGTCCGAAAAATACGGTCTCCTCTTCTGAATCACGGGGGATCGTTGTGTGGATCAAGTCAGTTAAAGGCACAGGGAAGGTTATATAATATGAACGTGAAAAGTGATAATAAGAGCTTTAGCCTTATTATGATCAACATACTCATAATTACATTGAAATTCTCTCTGCTTTGCTAACCCCTCTCCCTTGTTGAACCCCCTTTATTTGAGTTTCTTCTCAGGGCTCTAATCTCAGCTCCTCTTTTCAGTCGACTCTCGGCCCTGGGACACCTTTGCTTTATTGTCAGCACACATTGTGGTTAATTCCCTAACCTGGACTTCTGTCTCCAGAACACTCTTCCGTCTTCAAACCTACACTTCCAGCTGCCGCTGGCTTGGGCCTTTATCACCTTGACTTCCTGGCTCTAAGGACTGATTGTTTCCCCCATGCAAATTCCCTCCTGAGCTCCCTGCCCTGTTCCAGGCCCCTGGGCTAGGAGCTTTTCACGTATTATCTCGGTTTACACGATAACCTTGTGATATCGGACCCTCTTGTCCCCGTCGGAAAGATGATGAAACCGAGGTTCAATGAGATTAAATAGCTTTTCCAAAGTGGTGTGGCTCGTAGGCGGCAGAGTCGTGAGGCAAACCCAGTTTGTTCCTGCTCTTCACCCCTTTTCCCTGCCTCTTCCCTTTACTTGCCTTGCAGTGAAGACCAGACTCAGGACACTGGCTTTCTGGCCTCTCATGTCTGCCTCTTCAGCTGCCTCTCTCACTCTTACTGCGCAGCTCACTATTACTTGCCTTTCCCAAGGGAAAGTCTGCGCTTCCTAACCTCCTTGCTTGTGTGTGTGTGTGCCCTTCCCCAGCTCAGTCTTCTCCTTTTCCCGTGTTCGCTGTCACAGCCCCGAGGGAGGCAGGGCCGTGCGGCGGAGTAAGCCGGGCGGGGTCTGTGGCCCCTGTTGAGTGGGTCTGTTTCCTCTCCCTCACAGTCCCCATCTGTTCTGCAAAGGGCCGGGTCAGGTCACACTCAGACAGACCAGCAGTGTGGATGTGAGACGTACATTCAGTCCGCATTCAGTGTGTAGCGAGCTGTGTGTTGCCGTACATTTTGCAAACATTTGCTGTTGTCAGGCTTTTGAGTGTTTGCCCAACTGTGGGTTTATAGTGATATCTTGTTGTGGTTTTGGTTTGCATTTCTCTCGTGACAAGTGACGCTGAGCACCTTTCCCTCTCTGTTGGCTAGTTTGCATTTCCATTTTGTGAAATGTTCTTTAAGACTTCCCCCCATTTCTCCATTAGATTGCCTTTCACTCATCTGTAAGTGTTCTTTATACATTCTGGGTATGAGCACCTCTGTGGCTTCTCTTTTTATATTTCTTTTATGTTATCTTAGGATAAAAGGAGAACTTGAATTTTTATGTAGTTGAATTTATCAATATTTTCTATCATGGCAGTACTTTTATGTATGTTTATAACATGTTTCCCTATGTATTTTCTCACATACTGTTTTGTAAAATCCTGCTAGCCTTTTAGATTGGCATCTGCCTTAGCCATTTCCCGCTCCCACCATGCACGGTGTCTGACCCAGCTGGTGTTCTCGCCTTTGAAGGAAGGGGATTCTGCGAGGCACTTTGCCATTCTGTCACCAACGTGAGGCTTATGTTGCTCTTAGAGCAGAGAAGTCCTGCTGTGCCTCCCCAGCTTTTCCTAAAGGCCTGTCTCCTCCTCCCTTGGGTCGCTCAACTCAAGTTTCTGAGGTCAGGCCTCGCCCCTACTCCTTTCAGGGGTAAGGTTCTCATAGCCCCCCTCCATTTCATCCCTGATCTTACTGGAGAGCAAGATTATCACTCGCCAACCCTCAGAGCATAAGGGTTGCAGCCTGATGGAGAAAGGAGATCGCCTTTTCCTCGCCGCATTTGGGCAAAGAGTTTTCTAGATAGAGGGACTAGCAAATGTGGAAACCTCAAGTGGAAGGCGTTAGTATTCTAGGAATAGCGAAAAGATCTCTGGGGTTAGAGTGTGGTTTGCAGAGGAAGAACTTGTAGAAAACAAGAATGGAAGAATAGGTAAGGGCCGATTTGACAAGGCCTTGTGACGTGGTGCTAGAAGGATGCTGGGAAGCTGTCGGGAGAAGGGCATGATTTGATTCATGTTTTAAAAGGGTCACTCTAGCTGCTTCAGTCCAAAATGGAAACCAGGAGACCAGTTATTGCAGTAGTTCAACAGGGAGATAAAGGTTGCCTGGATTTGTGTAGTAACCGCGGGAATGGCAAGACGGTACATATTACAGAAAGGGCTGTAATATGGGCTGTCCCGGTGGGTTGGATGTGGGGCGTGAGAGGGAGAGCCAAGGGTCGGGCTGTCGTTCGGTGCCCTTGGCCAAGGGAGGGCGTGCTGGGAGAGGGGCGAGTTCTGTGAGGACCGGGGACTCTCTCCATGGCGGTGCCAGCTGGCATCCAGATGAGGGTCTCGTGGGGACCTGAGTATGAGTCTGGAATTCAAGGAAAAGTTAAAGAGAGGCATTTACTTCTGGTAATTAGTAGCATGTAGAGAGATTCAGAGCCAGGAAACTGGATGAATCTCCTGGGGATTAAGTGTAAAAGGGCCCTCTCCCGGTGTTTGTTGTTCACTGTGTTACTCTGTTTCCTTTATCAAATCAGATTTAAGTGGAACTTTTGGGGGAAAAGTACTTCATAGTTCTTCCGGTTTTGGTGCATGAGGAAGCACTTTGGTTCTTCCTCTTTTTAAGATATTTATGTGGGTCAGTGGGTTCAGGCATTGCCCCTGTGCTCCATCTGTTATAAAACGCCACCCCCCTCAGGTTGTGATTTCTGGGTTTAGTAACCATTGATGATCGTATCCCGAATCCATTATTTCAGTAGGGATGGTAAAATGGCAGTATTGACCATCGTTCCGTTCTTCTTAGTCAGCTAAAACTTTTCCGTGAAGAACCACTTCACCTCATCGACTATTTTGGTTAACGTGAGATGCAGGAAAGGTAGGATAGATGCTTGGAATTTTCTAAGGCCTAACAACAGAGAACCCTTTTATGAAGATTCCCGAGACTTTTAGACAAGATCGTACTAGCGTTTGATAGCTTCCTTGTTTCCCTGTTATGACAGGATGTTCCAGGATAGTTTTGTTTGTTTTCTGTTCCAGAGTTGAATGAGCCGTTTCCCTGAGGAGCCCCGCAGCCCTCCTACCCAGCGTGGGGTGGGTTTAGAGCGCCTTTCGTGTCCTGCGGTCTTCCGGTGTCTCCCCCAGACGTGTGTTCTCTTCTTGTGTGCGCTGGGACAGCGAGATAGAATCAAAACACTTTTTAGTTGCAGCATATTAATTTATATTTTAATTACACCATTTTGAGTGACGTGACTTATTTATTAATCCCTGCTATTTTATGGAAAATATCTGACATTGTGTAATGCTTCATCCTTATTGGCAGTGTAAATGCCCATGAGCTGTGTACTTTCCTGATTTCAGGCCTCGAAATGGAGAATTAAGGGTTTGTGTTTTCTATGAGAACATTTTGTAAACTCTTATTCACGCTTTTGTTTTTTTCATTTACATTTTACTGTTGTGGCTTCACTGGGAGTAGTGCAGTGACGTGCTACGTTGAGTTCTTTTTTCACTACCCGACGTACTTACTGATCCCGTGCGATGAGCCCGTGTAAAGCAGTGTGGTGCTTCCGGTCCCTGGGCCTTTAGGGGAGAGGGAACACGGAAAACCAGAAGGGATGTGGCGTCGATCTTGGGCGTCTTGAAGGACTGAGCGCCAGCCTGGTGCTGCCGGGTCGGCCCTCCCCGTAAGGTGGTCTGTGCTTCAGCAAGTAAAGATCCCGTGCACACTGCGTGGTGAGTGCCTAGTGCTGGAGCTGCCGCATAGGCAGGTTTCCCTCAGGCAAGAAAAATGAAAAGTTTGCTCTTTTCCTTTCTTCCCTCCAGTGATCCAGCAGAGCTTTTCTGTTTTCTCCAGGTGATTAAACCAGAGAGCAATGACAAAGAGACAGAAGGCGCCTACGAATCGGAGCTCCCCGAGGAGCTCTGTGGGAGCCGTCTGCAGCGGTCCCTGAAAGGCCACACCGACAGTCCTGACGTCGTCGTGGAGGCTCAGTGTGAGGACAGCGGCCCCGAAGACGGGCACGGCAGCACACCCGACGTGCTGGTGGGCGGCGCCAGGAAGCTCGCAGTGTGTGTTCCCGAAAAAGGTGAGTCCTGGCCAGCCGCCTGCCCTTCCGTGCTAGCGGCTCGATGGCGTTAGGCGTTGGAGTTCTCTCTGTGCTCCGGAGTTACTCTCACAGCACAGTTGGTACCTGCTCAATTTCTGACCCGTGTCAGCTTTTAGGAAAGGGGAACTCCCACAGACTTCTAGCTCCTGGTTGCCAGCAGGGACCACACGCCACTGGGACTTGTTGTGGTCAGTGGTTGCTGTTTCCAGTCCCTGGTAGGTTTTGAGTTTGTCGACAACTCACCTGAAATGTCCTGTGATGAACCCCGTCCCCCTTTATGGTTGATGTGAACAGAATCAACCGGCTGTTAAAATCCTTACAAAAAGCACTTCATTTTACCCTGGACTTTTTTTTAACTCTGTACCTTTGGAAAGTATTTATGTAATTGGTGGTGGGAATGGATCACCTTAAATTTGGTAAGTAGATTATTTTTATGTTGAAAGGACGTCCAGCCTAAGAAAAAGTCTTATCAGAGTTTATTTGAGTCTTATAAGAGCTAAACGGATGACGATCACTGGGAAGCCCAATCTGAGCTGACTAAGGAAACGCTCTGGGGAGTGGAAGGTTCGCAGCTTATTTTATGCCTGCGAGTCAGAGGAGGGTCCATGAGGAGGGTCACAAGCAGTTCATTGGGGGCGGATTCATTGGGGCGGGTTCATTGGGGCGGGAGAAAGCAAAGTTGGGAAACCTTTGAGTGGTCAAAAGGCAAAATGGAGAGACGCACTTCTTTTACGTTGGCGGGTACGGGGCAGTTAACATTTATAGCACGTGGAGATGTTTGTGGCGGATCAAGATAACAATGAAGGTTCTGGAGTCTGGAAAAGGAGATGACTGACATTTCCAAGGTGTTTTATCTTAGATGCACAGAGACAATAGACAGTTTCAAAGTTAAAGACTGATCCTTGTCAAGGAAGCTTCAGGCCTAGGACGCCACTGCACCCCGTGGCCCACCGGTGGGTGAGGGGCGTTCTGCTCAGACCGCCTGTGGGCCCACTGTGGGCTCTCTGTGGGCCCACTGTGGGCTCTGGGCTCTACGGCCGGTCGTTGGGCCTCCCCTGAGCCTGTCAGGTTTAGTATGTGACCCCTTTTCAATCACGTTTGCATTACAAAGTGTTTTTGAAAAGTTTTAAGCCTTTAGAAAAGCTAGGCTTGTTTTCTCTGATCAGAATCTGAGCCAGGTGTCGTCTGGACGCAGGGGACAGCAATTGCAAACACATGGTGAGGAGCCGTGAGCAAGGGCTCTGCGTGACCACACTCTGGGAAATGTAACGGCAGGTAGCGATGAAAGGGGGAATATTTCAGTATATAGACCTCTAAGAGATTTTAAATGCAGGGAGTATATTTTAAAGCCAAATTGAGTTTAATGTATATTATGAAATGGAAAAGAGTGACTTGGCTAGGCCGGCTAGACTATTAGACTTTTTCATCAGGAAGGAGCTTCTGGCACAGCCCCCATTAAAGGCTAGAAGGAATGCCAGATGATTACTGAAGGAGAATATTCAGCAGACCCTTGTGATAGGGCCGGTGAGCACACCGCACCGACACCCTGAGCAGAGCTGGAGGCGACGGCAGCAGATGACTGCATGAGAGGCAGGCGGCTGCCCCAGTGCTGCCTGGGTGGTAGCCTGGTGCTAAGAACAGTGGTGCCTCGGTACTCGTCGTTAAATCTTTCCGGAACTCGGCGTGAGTGCCTGAGCCCACGAGTACCGAACGATGAAGCGTCTTCCCTGGCGGGGCGGCGGCGGGGCTCATGTGAGTTCCGGCAAGTGGGACGAGTCCCGGGCGCGCACCGAGTGCTGAGACATCTTTTTCTCGTGAAAATGCGAAGAGGACAGGGTTCGATGAGTTCTGAAGCTGACGAGTCCCGAGGTGTGACTGTACTCATTCTGAAAGGCTCTCCGGCTTAGAAATTCTCTTTATATGAAGTGGCTGCTGCTTTCTCCCCGCTCCCCACCCCCCAACCCCCAGGTGCAGCAACCGGAGGGCACTCGGGTTCGTCTTGTCTTGTGCCTGCCTCCAGAACTAGTGGTTTCCCTGTTCCGGGCCCGGCCAGCTCCATTTGGCTGTTGCTCTTTGAAATTTCATTCTTGTGTTGTTTCTTTTTTCTTCCTTTGAAAGCAGCTGGATACTGTGACCCTCTTCTGAGAGTGAGTGTGTATTGTCATAATGGCGTCAGTACTGTGAGTCATGTTTTTTCTATGAGAAGAGGGGGAAATAACCAGGACCCTAACTAGCCAATTCTTCATCATTAAGATCACCAAGGGAGAGAGATACTTGCAGTCCGAATTCAGGCAAAGGAGAACTTTAAAACTTACTGAGTGTTTGGCCCAAAACTGCTTCGTGGAAATGGAGTCCTGATGATTGGGCTTGGCAGACCTCAAGGGCCCTTTCCCCCTGGGCTCCAAGGTGCAGGGATGGAGATGCCTTGATTTCTCATTAGTGGTTGGTGCCAAAATAAGGGCAAGGAAGTATTGCTGGAGGGAAGTGATGGCAGGTTGGTGCCCCGGGTGCGTACCAGTAATTCACTCTGCCCTTTGTCTTTGGAAATGTGCTCCTGGTTTGTCCTCTATTACAGTTCCCCTCCTTCCCTCTCACAAATAAATACCACTGAGTGCTTTACAAGTCCACTGAATTCTTGTGTTTTCTTTGCTCTTTTTACAGTCCTCCTATCCTGCTCTTATTTATATTGCTTCCTTGCTGGCCCTGACTGAGGGGGCAGCCTTAATCTTTCCCTCAGTATCTGGTACAAATTTCTCTTTCCTGCTAGCCTCTAAGTAGGGAGTTTGTGAAACCACATGGCTGTTTCTCATTTCTTGCCCTCTTGATATTTAGGAAAATTGCAATTTGCTTTTTAAAAAATCATGGTGTTTTTAAGGATATTTTAACCAGCTTCTCTTGTCCAGATAATATGAAATCTGGTTATAGTTAAGATGTTAGTACTTTTTGCACCATTTAAGGTTTTGAAATTTGTTATTGAAACAAACCATAACCTTAAGAACATCGTAAACTTTTCCTTAGACTTCTAGAAAGGTTCTTTCCTTTGTGTTGTAATTGCAGATGGATTATTTATCCTATTTCACACTTGTGTTCAAAAGAGTGCTTTTTGTTTGTTTACTTTTGTTTTAATATCATGTTTCTTTACCCAAAGCAACTGTTACATGGTGCACGCCTACCCATTATCTATCCCTGTCTGCCCAGGCCACATCTGCATCTCTAAGGCAGCTACTGGTTTCTCTGTGAGGTGGTTGCTCCAGCTGTCTGCAGCAAGTGCCTGCCATAGCGTTGAGAAGGGTTTCTGGGCATCTCAGACCTACACAATAATGTCTCTTAGGAACACCGCAGGATCTGCATCGTCCTTAGTCCCTGAGAGACAGCAGGCCGAGCACCTGGGCCCCCTTGGTAGGTGCAGTCCCACAGCCTCCCGAGGCCAGGCTCTGTCCACTTTCCAGGCAGTGCTGTTTTTGTCAGCGCGGAAATCCGCCGTCTGTTACAGACTCGGACAGCCCTGGTAAATTTTCTTTGGTATCAGATGCGTGGGTGATGGTGGCCTGGTTTGCACACTCCAGAGGACAGAAGTCATCATGGCCAAGTGATACAGCTGGGCCAGGTTCGTCCTCTGTGTTCTTCATCATCAGAATTTTAAGAACTTGGCCTCTGAGTCTCGGTGACCATGACCTAATCAGGTTATGATGTACGTTTCCTCTTGTCTTCCTGGTACGGTCTGCCAGAGATCTCGTTCAGCTTTCTGATCTGAAGACAGGCCTCTCCCAGTGCCGTGATGACTGAATGCGGGTTTGAATGTGGAGTTGGTGACCCTGTCACTGTTCTCTTCTGTGTCCTGGCCACCTTCAGCTCTGTTCTGAAGCGGCAGTCCGCCTGGAGGCCTTGAACCCTTCTGAGGTTTGAGTTGATCTACTGCTGACTTCAGGAGCCAGGAAGAGCTCCTTCTCTCACTTAACAGTCATCCCTTTTCAGTGACTGGCCTGCTCAATGCCTCGGTGTAGTTCTCATTCTTTGGCTGAAAAGTAACTGTATTTCCCTTTGGCTGAGAAAAAAGACCCATGCGATCATCCTCCTGTGATGCTTCAGGGTTACTGAAATCCCAAGAACCCTTTCTTTTAAGTGTCAGGAACCCCTCTTCTTTCTCGAAGGTAAATTTCTTCATTTTCTTTCTGAGACCAGATCTTCTTTATCCTTTGTTTCCCGGCTCTCCGCCGTGTATATGATGACTGGTGTAACTGGCATGCAGTCGGTCATGTTTGCTTCAGAAATTATGTTAAAAAATAAATGTATAGCAAGTTTCCATCATCCACAATTATTGGGCAGTATTTTGTGGCAATATTTTAAAACTCATAAAAAATGTAAATGCTTGTCTGGACCAATGTTAGAAAGATACAGTAGGAGTTTTTGCTTCTCTGTCTTTTCGACCACGTGGAGAGTACAGTCATATCAGGTGTGAGTCAGGTAGAGAAGGTGCACCTTCTCTGTGGACTGAGGACACCCTCCTCTTGTAGTTGAGCCTTGGTCGCTGTTGGCAGATCAGTGGGAGGGATTTACCCAGGCCAGTCAGCTGCAAGGACTGGCTGTGGCCCCTGACCACCAACCTCCGCCCTCCGTGGAGGATCAGCTGTGCAGGGGCAGGGGGTGGTGCTCCGAAGTGGTCTGTAGCTGTCCGCTGGGTGCACTGGCACTGGGGTTTTTCTGGTGGTGCAGGCCAAGGTCCGCCCCCACCTTTTTTTTTGTCTGCGGCCACCCTGCCTGAGTTACAAAGCAATCTGAGATGGCTGCTACTTGTGCTGGTCTTGGAGATGCCCAGGCGAAGCCGAGCTATGGACCTAGGCTGGCTGCTGCCAGTGCTGGGCCTGGGGCTCACGAGGCCAGCTGTTGGAAGTTGTGCAGCATGAGCCCACACCAGCCATTCATGTGGAAAAGCAGCTTGGGTGGGCCCCTAAGGTGGGTGGGGCAGAGTCTCTGGGGAT